AGGTTCATCGAGTGATGACCTAAATGTCTCACATGATCTATATATATAAATATATATATATACATACATACATACATACATACATACGTACGTACATACATACATACATACATACATGCACACAAAACACACACACACACACACACACACACACCTCATACATATAGGCACATACACAAATACACACACAAATATATTCTACCATTATAACGTTGTGACATACGGTGAACAGCTGTGGTGCAGCAGATACGCTACATCGCGTGTGGGTACGTCCACCCCACAGTACTGGAAGTCCACAGCCGCCACTTGCCTCTCATCGACTGTGAATAGTAAGTTCTCGGCTTTGAAATCGCCTGTGGATTTGATTGGAAGTGATGAAAATAGTGAGAGTACATGATGTAATAATGAGTAGAGTAGAAATGATGCTGCTAGTAGGTGGTTTAGGTTTCAGGTGTATACGAGTAGGGTAGGAGTGATGCTGCTAGTATGTGTATATGAGGAGAGTAGATGTGATTCAAATAATAGGCACATGGATTAGGTTTCAGATGTATACGAGTAGAGTAGATGTGATGCTTATAGTAGGTACATGATTTAGGTTTCAGGTCTATATACGTAGATTCCCAGTCGTGGTTTGCGGAGAGTACTCTTCCAGCTGTACGAGTGCTCTGAGATCGGAAACAAGTTTCCCAAAGCACCAGTGGGTATGATTGAAAGTGGTGGTACTGAGGAAACTGATACCTACATGTATTAGGTCTCAGGGTTTAGGGTTGAGGGTTTAGGGTATATTTCACACTGGGGGTGTGTGGAGAGTACATTTCCAACAGTATGGATTCTATGAAACTAGACGGGGATGTGTGAAAGTGTGGTAGATAGCGATCTTAAGTCAGGTTATGTTGACTTAGGAGTGGCTTAGCTTAGATCAGCTCAACAGCCCCATACAGCTCAAGGTGCAATTGACTCAAATGACTTAAATGTATGAGATTGACTTAAATGACTTAAATATGTATGTGATTCACATAAATGACATAAATATGTATGTGATTGACTTAAATGACTCAAATATGTGTGTGATTGACTCAAATGACTTAAATATGTATTTGACTGACTTAAATGACTTAAATATGTGTGATTAACTTAAATGACTTAAATATGTATGTGACTGACTTAAATGACTTATATATGTATGTGATTGACTTAAATGACTAAAATATGTATGTGATTAACTTAAATGACTTTAAATATGTTTGTGATTGACTTAAAAGACTTAAATATGTATGTGATTGACTTATATGGCTTAGATATGTATGTAATTAACTTAAATGACTTAAATATGTTTGTGATTAGCTTATATGACTTAGATATGTATGTGATTGACTTAAATGAATTAAATATATTTGTGATTGACTATGACTTTAAAATGTATGTGCTCGAGGGAAGACGATGCAATACAGATGTTTTCTGAGGTACAACTGGTCGATGTAAAGAACACTGCAGGTTTATATATATATATATCTTATGACAACCCGTCATGCACTTTTCATAAATTGAAGTTGTACTATTGAAGCTAAACATATACATATACTTATACATGTAGATTGAGTATATATATATATATATATATATATATAACATATGATGTCATACTTATTCAATTCATAGTGTTTGGTAAATATATCAGGCGCTCTTCATACATTTTAGTTGTACTATTGAAGGACATATATCATGCTACCCCACTGTGTCTAATAAATATATCAGACGTTTACAGAGAACTTGTTTACGTTTTAAGTTGTACTAGTGAATGCATCCATTCCATAAGTTTCACTTTAGAAATCATGACTAATTAATAAATGTATAGACATAGAGGCACAGCCAGTGTACCCCGGAATAAACCTCCATGCAGAAACTGTACTATGAAATGGAAGCAAGAATAAAACAATATGAAACGCAGACTACGTACTATCAACACGTACTACCAACTACCCTCTCAGCTGAGTGAACACGCCAACGTGAACCAAACAGTACACCAAGGGTAGTGGCACTAGGGCTGGTGCAGTTCTAGTTGAAGGGCATGCTTTATTGAGGGGTGTATCTCAGTCACACGCATGTTGGAGAGGTCCTTTTACATCGATACAAAGCTGCGCAAAACGTATTGCCTCAATAAAGCAGTATCTCGGTCACACGTATACTGAAGAGGTCCCTTTACATCTATACAAGGCTGCTCAAAACGTATATGTGTTGCCGCAATACGTGAACTTCTACGATTGTAGCAGCACTTCTCTGCGTAAAATAGCTAAAAGCGGGACAGGTAATGCCAAAAGCGAGACAGGTAATGCTAAAAGCGGGACAGGTAAAGCTAAAAGCGGGACAGGTAATGCTAAAAACGGGACAGGTAATACGAAAAGCGGGACAGGAAATGCTAAAGGCGGGACAGATAATCTAAAAGCGGAACAGGCAATGCTAAAAGCGGAACAAATAATGCTAAAAGCGGGACAGCGCTTTACTCTAATGGTGTGATATAACAGCCTCATGTTTAACACGAGAATACTGTTCGCTGCGAAGGTTTATATCAATTCGTAACGAAACTAGCATACAAACAATGGTCTAAATGATCATATAAATTGCTTTGGCACAATAATGAGTTCCTCTGCATGAAGTAACTAAAACCGGGACAGATTATGTTTAAAGCGGGACAGTGCCCTACTCAAGGAAAGAGAAACAAAAGGTCTCACGCCTGACGCAGGAATGCCCTTGAAGTATATCATTTTGTAAAAATGATGACTGAAACGAATATATATATATATATATACATATATATATATATATCTATATATATATAATATATATATATATATACATATANA